TTATTTATTTATTTATTTATATCCTGCCTTTTTCCTACAAAGGGCTCAAGGCAGCTTACATCATTCTCCTCCTCCATCTAATCCCCACAACAACAACCCTGTGAGGTAGCTTGGGCTGAGAGTCTGTGACTGGCCCAAAGTCACCCAGTTGGATCCGTGGCTGAGCGAGGACTAGAACCCAGGTCACCTGAGTCCCAGTCCCATGCTCTTAACCACTACACCACACTGGCTTTCGTGTGGGGGCATTGATAAAAAAAAAGTTCTGAAGGAATCTAGGTAATTACAGACTAATTGGCTGAAATATCTGCTTCTTATAGTTCACAGACTGAACTGTGTTAATTAACTGAAATGTCTGTTCCAGGTAGATTGGTGAAAAGTATTATCAAAGATAAAATTATTAGGAACATAGAAGGACAGGTCCTTTAGAAAAAGAACATGGATGCCACAAAGTATATCTTGTATCACTAACCTTTTATAGAGTTCTTTTAGATCATAAAGAGACATGGTCAAGGTGATGACGCAGCCAGTGTTTCAAACCCTTTTGAAAATTCCCTATCAAAAACTCCTGCAAATTTCATAGTCATAGAGTAAGAGGAGAAGTAACTGGTTGGATCAGTAACTGTTTAAAGAAGAGAAAGCAAAGATTAGGATTAAAAGGTCAGTTCTCCCAATGGATGAATGTAAATGACGGGGTCTCACTAAGATTTACATTGAGATCTGGGATTTGTTTTTCTTTCTTTTTTGTTAGATCTGGGATTTTTAACTTGTTCAGAGATGTTCTGTAATTAGGAGCAAGCGGTTTGTTGATGACACTCAATAATTTAGCGCACCATCCTATACCTGCTTAGACAAAAAAGAAAGCCTTCAGCTTTCAGCATTCCCCAACTAGGATGTCTGGGAAAGGAATTCTGGGAATTGTGAGACTTTATCTTTCTAAATATCCATAGGATTGTGCTCTTAGGTAGATAACGAAAAAGGGAATTGCTACAAAAGGATCTCTCTAAATGGAGTGAACAGCTATTATAATGGTAAATGCGGTTCAGTTTAAGGAAGTGTAAAACCATGCACACTATGCATATTGATGATGATGATGAAGTACATCTGAAGGGATCTGAACTGGCAGTGATTAACCAAGAAAGAGCTTGGAGTTTGATGAAAATGTCAGCCCAGTGCGTGCCATTCAGCTGTAGAGGTGCCCGTTGAACCCTTGAGGACGTACTTTGTAAATCCATGATACTGCTCTTTAACCAAAGCAACAAATATCCAGCTAGCTTATGTATTAATGTAGAGCAATTGTACTAGATCTAGGAGGGAGAAAGACGTTCCTTATTGGTGGGTTGCTTATTATTGATGTTGCTTATTATTTGTCACAGGGCTCCCCTAAAATAATTATGATAGGCTGTCATCAGTATTGAAGCCTCTCCTGTCACATATTGCCCTCTCTCTTCAGTTCAGTTCCAGGAAAACAAACAAGAAAGTGGTTTGGATTTACCTGCCCAAATCCAGAAACACAGAACTTAAAGAAGATGTTAAGTTAATTAACTCTAAGAATAGAGGTGGTAGTTTTGAAATCAGACTCTCATTTGAAGAGTTTAGAGAGAAATTAAGAATTTAAAACAACACAGCCACATGTCCAAACATAAAAAGTTGTCATGGAGGAAAGAGAATTAAAATGTGAAAATGAGAGAAAGCAAGAATCAGAAGCAGAAATTGCCAACTAAAATCAATAGTCAATTTGAGTAGGTTCTTTGGTTTTGGAGCAATATCCAAAGAAGATGGCCTGAAAGAGCATCTTGACCTTCAGTTAAATGTTGTTAGCAGGATGACAGGATAAATAGTTCCATCAACATCAACTGTCATTTAACAGTGTTTTTCTGTGTGTTTGCAGCTGAGAAATATGTTAATCATTCGCCAAATTCTGATCAAGTGATCACTTGGTATAGAACTGTCTTGTAACATATTGTTGGTAAGGTGTTTCTTTTTAAATTTACAGTCTAATTTGTACTACATAGCATGACCTTCTTGTGCTGAATTTTATTTTTCTATGCTAGGTTTTCTTTTCTGCAATGACCTTTGGTTTCAGCAAAGTATTGACTGAGTGACTAACTGAGCTCTATTTGAATGTAAAGGGTACTATTGATTACTCCCAGAAAGCAATCTAATCAGCTTATCCATGACTAATGGTAACTGGAAATCAGCATTTCCACACATTTGTCCAGCTCTGCTTGCTAAATGACAGAACAATGGAAAAAATGGAAGGAATGTAATCTGGTTCTCTTCCAATCAAGATAGCTAGTAGAATAAAATTAATTTGATTACTTTAAAAACCTGCCAGTTTAGAACTAGAGTTAATTCCACAATGCTAGAAATTGGAAGTTGCAGATGATTCCTTAACAGATGTTTTTCTGCAATTATTTTTCTGCAATTATTTTACAGACAATAATTATGTTGTGCGATGCCATAAAATGTGCTTGCTTCCAACATAAGCTCCATGCACCACATTATTTCTTGGTCTTTTAGGTCTACATCCAGACAGAGATGATGGAGTGCCTGAGGCCAGCAAAGTTGCCCTGTTTTATCCTGATCTTGTATCAACTTAGAAGAGCCTTAATATAGTGCTGGAGGAATCCTGATGATTTTGCCAGCAGTCGATGTCATAGGATTTAATGGGGAAGAAAAATCTTAATAACTTTGGAGCCACTGCTGAGAACTTCACCAAACTAATGAATATCTTCCTCAACAGGCTTGGATAAAGTCCATTGGGAGTTTCCAGCAAATTTTGAAAGGAATACATATATTTGGCCAAAAGTTGGAGTAAAAAGGCAAAACTTGTCAGTTTTAGCACTATTTAACTTCTTGTCACTGTGGCAGTTTTGATCATATCAGTTTGAATTTAGCACATTCATGGACCTCATCAAACAGATGATCAATAATCAGTTTCCAGTTATCTGCTCAACAGCACTGCTTCCAGGTGGAGGGGCCCTCCTGTTCCCAATCAGAAAGCAGTGTGCAGCTATTCCTCCTCCTCACCCTGCTCATGCCCCAGGAAAAAGGGGAGGGGAGGGGGGAATGGTAAGAAAACATTGGAGAAAGCTGGCATTGTCTGGACCCCCTTTATATTCTTAAGCAGATGGTGGGCAGAAGTCTTGTTTAGAAGCACTCCTTGTGTCTTTCCTGTAAGCAACAAAAATTTGTGGCACATAATGGTGAAAATTAGTATTACTATTATTTTTGGAAATGCACTTTAACTACTATGCCCCTTTGACAGCAACCTCATAAACAGAAATATATATCTGGCATACAGCATGAGAGGTCTCATCTCCCACCTTGAAGGATGTATCCAGCTGAATATCACACTGGGAGATTAAAGAAAAAATTGGATTCCCCCCCGCCCAACCTGGCTGGTCCCCATCTTGTTATTGTTGGGTCCCCCTGCAGTGTATTATTCAGAGAGTAAGAGATTTCACCTCCTGGGGGGATAAGATTTCATCTGGCTGAAAGGCAGAGGACACACTACATCTTGTTTGGAACATGAGAAGCTGGAAAGCCTGGTCTTGCCCTCTAGACTGTGGTTAACCGTATGCAGTAACTGGATTTGGACAACACTATAACCCACTGTGGTTTATAAGCCAAGACAAGCTGGCAAGTCTGAAACCACTACTGTTTCCATGGGGTGGTCTGCATGATTTAACAAGTTGTCCAAAACTGGGCAAGCCCAAAATTAAAAGATTCCTTTGACTAGAGTGGCAAAATAGTATTGCTACTCTGATTGGGGGATTCTAGGGATGTGGCAACCAGCAAAGCACAGCCATCCTCGGTTCCCCTGGCCTCCTGACAGCTGGAAACTCGCAGGAGCAATTCTGCTCTGCTGGCATTAGCCGCAAAGCTGGGCGGAGAAGCCGATGACAAGCACTAAAAGCGCCAGCTTTTGGGCGCTGCCGTCCTGCTGCCTTCAGTGCTCTTGCAGGACATCCAAGCAGGGAGGAATGAGGGGAGTGGAGCAGAGGACAGACACCCCCTCTGCTGTGTTTGTCTGTCAGGCACAGGGAAGATTTACCTGCAGTGCACAGGTAAAATTCTCAGGGGGGATAAGGTGTGATGCACACCTGCCTAGTGCCAGGTGAACCATGTTACCTATAGCACATCCTGGGGAATGAGTCAGGAAAGTTGGGCTATGGAGGAACACCGACAAAGCCTCACTGGGTGCATTCTCAATAGCTGAGCCAGTCAAATGAACATTCCCCTGTATTTCCCTGGGAGAAGCCTGCCTCTGGTCCATGCCAGAGTGTACTACCTTCTGCCCCAGGTTAAAATAGCTCCTACTTACCAGGGAGTTATTTTAATATAACTCCTAGTTATTTTAAAGCCTTAGTTCTTTTTTTGGAACTTCATTAAGCCACAAGAGTGTGGCATTCTGAACAATGTTCTGTTCTCTTGCCAGCACTTTGATTCTGAAAATAAAGTTACCACAGCCCATGCCTGCTATGAAGTCATGCAGTGCACCCTGACAGTCTTGAAACTTACTCTTATGTGTCTTGGGGACACTGCAGATCCTCACTAAAGAAGTGGGGGCACTTCGTACATGCTCAAAGTACTTATGTACTTCAAGACTCAAACCTGGTGCTGAAAAGAGATCTGTGGGCTGGGTCCTCTTGAGTCCTGGCACAACTGGAGCACCTGGCAGAAGATACCACTGCTCCTCAGTGCCCCCTCTAATTTGTGAAATTTTGAGCAAGTTCCTGACCAGCAGTGAGACTCAGGCAGCTTCAGACCCGTTTACCCTTCTGTTAATAAATGAACAGGAATCAGCACAACTTTCCAAATGTGCAGGAGCTTTGAGTGATTTTGGCTCCAGGAACCCTGTGTAGTGTTAGCCTCGTGTGTGTGTGTGTGTGTGTGTGTGTGTGTGTGTGTGTGTCTGGGTGTGGGGGGGAGGGGGGAGAGAATGCTAGGAAAAGCTCTGGGAGTTATTAATTCTTCCTGTGCCGTGAGGGGCATTCGCTGAAATACCCCTCCCACCACCACAGGTGGAGTGGGCTGGCACTTGGATGTGAAACTGGAGAGAACTGGTTCGCGTTTGCACTTTAGTTCCTGATGGGAAGGGAGCCCGGGCAGCCCTCTCCTTTCCTCGGCACAGAGCTGCCTGCCCACCCACAAGGATGCCTCGGTGGCTCGGACTCCTGCTCTTGGCGAGGGTCGCTGCCTCAGTGAACTTCTTCCATCACAGCTACGATGAGCTGGTGCGAGCCCTATTGGACGTGCAGGCCTCGTGCCCCTATATTACCAGGTTTTACAGCATTGGACGCAGCGTCCAGGGCCGTGACCTCTACGTGCTGGAGATCAGCGACAATCCTGGCATCCATGAGCCCCGTAAGTGTGCTTGGGGGTGTATCCTTTACCTACAGCCGAGCAGTGGCTTCTTTTTTTGCACTGCCAAAGAAACACGGGGTTTGGCACTGCCGTGACGTCAAAGCCAGCAAGCTCTGTGCCCATCCATCCCGATGGCACTCCTTGCAGGAAAAGCAGAAACTTTGGACAGGCTGAGGGGTGAAAGGGTTGTGCTGGAAGTGACTTGCCACAGAGGTGACCTAGCATGCATGTTTCTTTCAATTTGCAATGTGTCTTCTGCATTTTCCACACTTGACCACATGATGCTGGATGCAATGTTACTTCCTTTTTCACCTTACAAGGAACTGAGGCTCAGATGTGGCTAAAGAACCATCCAAGGTCTGTGTGGCTGAGCTAACATTTAAACCCAGGTCCCTGAGGTTCAAGTCCATCTCTCTCCCTGCTGTACTGCATTGATTCTAGAGAAAAACAGCCTGATGGAGAGAACTGGACAGAGGATTATGGTTAACTTTGGTTGGTGAAGGAGATTTTGTGGGATCTTCCCTCTCCCTCTGTAGTTTTTTCCTGCTGCTATGACAAGCTGTAGCACTGGCAAAGCATACCTCTGGGAATAACATCCTCATTAATGGAATCGCCACCCCAAAGAGATGAAATGCTGCTGCCCAGTAGATGCCATGGAAAACTGTTTTTTATTACTCAGGCATTTGAGCGGGCTTTAGCTGATGAAGGTGCTGTTAGTCTGCCTTAATACTTTATTTGCCTCTGTTTTTTTGCATCTTTATCATTGTCCTCTTTTACTTTGACACCTTTTCCCTAAAATCTAATCTGATAAAGGCAGTATGTACAGATTGTAAAATACCTAGTAAGATTTAATTCCTGTGAAGTGTTGTAGAAGGTTTTTACTTCCACAACAGTCCTGTAAGGTAGATTATGCTAAAAGGTGGGAAACTTCATCCTGAGCCTGTGCTTCCTACTGCCAAGCACAGCCACTGTACCCTATGGGTTAAGAATGCCTGCAGGTCACTGGGTGGACAGATGTTAGCGGTACAAAGAACTTGAAACTGGGGGAGAAAGGGAAGGAAATCCCGTTGGATTCCAGAGGAGTTTCATACTCCTACACCCTGGAGGGTGCTTGTAGAGTTGAAGGGGCCACCTTATGGGGAAAGTGGTTTTAAAGAAAAGAATTTGAGGCCAGGCCAAGATGAAGGATTGATTTGGCTCTGCAGTTTAGTTTAAAACTCATTGAGGCTTTTAAAGTCAGGAATGTGACATATAAGAGAGAGGAACTAAAGGAACAGGAGAAGAGGCCCTCCGGCTATACAAAATAAGGGAATAGAAACCCTGACCTTGTTGATCTGAATGTATCCTCTCATCGAAAATATTCACACTCTACCCTACATTCGTGCTGTTTCCATAAAAGCCACTCCATTGGAGCACAGAGTTCCAGGCACAGCCTCGTGCTCTCCAGAATTCTCTATGATGTTCAGAGATGTATCGGTAGTTGCTCTGGCTCTTTGACACATCAAGTCAGAGTATGCAAGATATTTTGAACTACACTTCCCATAACTCACCAGATGTTGGCTCTGCGATCTGTGGCTGATGGGAGTCACAGTCCCAAGTATCTGGAGAGTGTTGATGCCTACCTCTGCATCAGACAGTGGGAAAAGTACACAGCTGTCGTTGGATTGTCATGGAATACCAGCGGGAAACCTACCGTGTCCCCCACGCCCTCCCTTTCTCCCCCACCGTTCCTTCTGCTTTCTGTTTGCAGAGCACCACCCCATGGCGTGGTGTTCTTGCCGCTCTGTTCCAATGTCAGCAAATCTCTCACTTTCTCAGTGGAGCCGGAATTCAAGTATGTGGCAAACATGCATGGGAATGAGGTGCTGGGCCGGGAACTGCTGCTGCAGCTCGCCGAGTTCCTGTGCGAGGAGTACCGGCACGGCAACCAGCGCATCACGCAGCTCATCCATGAGACACGCATTCACCTCTTGCCCTCAATGAACCCTGATGGATATGAGGTGGCAGCTGCCCAGGTACCAGGCAAGCATCCCCTTCTTATCTTAATAACCATGGTAACAGGAGATGTTTGTGCAAGGGAGGCAAAGGGAGACGTTCCAAGGAGGAAATCCGCATTAGGGGGAGTCATGACATATAACTGTATGTGACTTCATTAGCCATGGTAGCTGAACGACACTTCCATCCTGACCAGCAGGAAACCTCTTGGTACTAGTCGCTGGGGACAAATAGGAGGTCTGACCCCCACTGCCATTGCTTTTTATCTTCCTGTCTGTCTTGCCATTGCTAGAGACAGAAAAGTGGGAGCAGCAGGGCTGCATCTCAGTTAGCAAGACAACTGGTATATAAAACAGAAGATCAGATCAGAAGAACTCTGTTTCTACCAGTGGCAAGAAAAACGCCCCTGGAAGATCATAAGCAGGTACATCTCCCTCCTTCCCAAAGATACATAGGTTCATCTTTGTCATTCACCTCTCTTTTTCTATTGACTTTTCTATTCCGTCTGTGTATCAGGTTGCATGCATATCTCTTGGAAGGGTTCTTGTCCTATTTACTCTTTTCAGCCTACCCACGAGCTCTAAAGTGCTTCCTTCTCCATCATCCTGTGCAAACAACCAGCCCAACCCTCACAACACAGTAACAGCCAAGCTTCTAGCACTGGGCCTTTTCCTTAGAGTTCTGGTTTGGGTTTGCCTTCTCAGGATGACTGATGGACCTCAAGTACTGACTGGTAGCGAAAAAGAGGTTAAGATGCTTATATGAATGGCCTATTTAACCATCTTGGTGTCCTTAGTAGACCTCTAAGAGCAAGGCTGAAAAGCGCTGGATCTATTGTGCTGGTTTCCATTCCACTGCAATTCTGAACTAATTAGAAGACCCATGCGGATTCCCAGAGCTCTAGGACCTGAAGACATTGTATTGCACCACTAATATTTTCAGAGTTCCTCATACTCGAATGCCAAAGCACAAACCTTATTGAGCAGGGCCTGAGACACTGCCTAGTGAAGCCAGCAGCCAATTCATAGTCCTCTTTAATTGTAGTGGAGGATCAGTTTGGTCACGCCACTGTTCTCATAGCATTTCCTTTAAAGGACACCCCCCATTAAGTTGTTTAAGGGAGAAACAAATAAAATAATGAAAACGGACTGCAAAGTTCTTTGACCACAATTTGAATTGTTAGGCTTTTTGTGAGCTGCTTCGAGTGCATTGTCTGTGGGGGAAGGAACACAGTTTCTTAATTAAAATAAATATTCATTATGAATGTTCTCCTATTTAATTAATATGAGGATTGGCTGCTGACTATGCTAAACAGTGGGAGATGAGCATACTCAGTAAATACCTGCTAGATGCATTTAGCACCCCAAAATCTAGGTACTCCTGATGCAGTCTATGATTCTTTCTGACAGAGTCATTTCCCCATCACAAGTGAAGAGTTAGGTTCTGTGTGCACTCAGTCAGTCCTAGAGCTCCCATGTGAGTTTATTTATTTTCTTTCTAGGGTGACCTTGGGTACCTCACTGGTAGAAACAATGCCAATGGAGTTGATCTCAACCGTAACTTTCCTGACCTCAATACCATGATGTACTACAATGAGAAACAGGGTGGACGCAACCACCACATCCCCTTGCCAGACAACTGGAAAAGTCAGGTAATAATGACTTGCCTGGCTCAGCTGCCTTTCCAAAAACTTCCCCTTCCTTAGGTCACTCCTGGGGTCAACCCTGCTGAGCTGTACTTCAGGTTTCCACCATCAAAAGCTTTCTCTTCTTCAGATCCCACTTTATTCCCAATTTAGGAACTGGATATACTTTTTCAATGCTTCCAGTCCATACCTGCAAAATACAGGGGTACATCAGCTTGCCTTCACCATGCCCACCAATCCTGGTCAGTGGCTTGTAGGGACCAGCGAGAACTGGTCAGAGCATGTGATTGGCTGCTTACAGTGATGCATGAACAAACATTTCCTCGCTTTCTTTTTCATACTTGCCCCACACCTGGTTGTTCAATGGGAGCCAACAGAATCTACAGATTCAGAAAAGGCATGTAGTTCAGTATGCTCAGGGCCGTACTACTTCAGAATGCAGGTAGGGGAATCACATATTTGAATATCCTCTTGTGTAAGCAAAAAACATAAAACCCCAAAGCCTGCACATAAAGAACTGGCCTGGAACCAGCAAGAGGTATTCTTGGGCAAATCCTTGGGACCACACTAGGGCCCACTAGACATGGTAGACATCAGACAGAGGTCTGATGCGAAGTCCCTATAACTGTAGTTGCTCCTACCATTTTAATTTCTCCCAGAATCCAGTACTATAGTACACCTGTGGTCAACACCACCCAGGGGTAAGTAGTAAGCAGTCAGAAAGTAGTCAGAGAGGAGGCTAGAAAAGGTTATCTGGAACTGCTTCACACTTTTGTGGGAAACCATCTCTCTACTTCTCACCAATTGCCCTTCCACCATAGGTGAGATACAAAGAAGGGCTTCCCCTCCTGATCTCAATGAACAGGCAGACTGGTATGGAAAGAAATGGTCCCTCAAATATCATGGAACCAAGGATATTTAGGTCTTTAAAGGAACCGTGACCCAAAAACTAACTGATTACCAGTGCGAACAGGATGGATGTAACATTGCCTCATAAACAGAGACCTACCAACATTCGTGATAACTTTCCAAGGCCAACTTTTTAAGTGTGTACTTCCGCATCTATGTTATGAAGTAGCAAGGTTCCAGGAGTGCTGCACCATGTGTTTGTGCCAAGCTGGAAATCAGATGTATTTCTTGCCAAACGTCTTCTGCTTCTCTCTCTTTACAGGTAGAGCCAGAGACTTTGGCTGTGATTAAGTGGATGAAGAGCTACAATTTTGTCCTCTCAGCCAATCTCCATGGTGGAGCTGTTGTTGCCAATTACCCTTATGACAAATCCCATGAACAGAGAAACCGAGGCATTTGGCGTGCGAGCAGCACTCCCACTCCTGACGACAGTATCTTCAAGAAGGTGAGAGGTGGCAAAGCTGAATGATGAGGTGTAGAACATGGACACATCCTACTGGTTTAGACTTGGATGTACCCAAACTGGTGAGCATTCAAAATAGAAGAACTCATTTGGGAAAATCTAAAAGTGGAAGGATCTCTTCATTTTTAGATGATGGCCTTCTCCTCCATCTAAGCTGAGCTGGAGTCTTAAACCCCTGTCTTAAGATTATCAGAGATGCTGTTCTCCGTAAACCCTTGCAAGGGGAAGTTATCTTACAACAAAGGAGACAGCCTTCTTTGTGGTGGTGCTTGGTTTTGGAATACCCTCACCTCAAATGTTCAACAGGCATCCATATTATCAGGGTTTTGGTGCCAGATCAAGACAGTTATTTGGTACATTACCAGAGGGCAGTCATGTGAACTGCTTGCATTAAAACATCTATTAACAAATTTGTTCTGACCTAAGCTTTCATGGACTATTGTCCAGATGAAGACCCTTTGTTATATGCCCAGGCAACTTAACCCCGTCTTGCAGTTTTAGTCTGTTCTTTTTAGTTATTTTCATATTTTTATTATGTTTTATTTTATTATGTTTTATTTATTTATTTAAACCTTTATATGTTTCCTATTTCACCCATGGCATCATTATGCTTTTAATGATTAGTTATTCATGTTGCGCGGTACACTCTTCAAATGAAGGGTGATCCAAAAATAATTCAATAAACCAATTATTGAATTGGTTTATTGAATTATTGGTTGATTGGTTGATTGAATTTCAAAAACAAACAGACGATGCACACAAGAGAAAGCCCAAGGGGCAGATTTATTTTTTGATTTATTTAAAGCCATTTATATCCCACTCTTCCTCCCATATAAGATTAGAACATCATACATGGAAGATGAAGATGAAAAGAGGACATCACACCTGACACAAATACTTGAATGAAGGGGCCATGAGTGGATGGGGGGCACCCCTTAGAGTGCAAACTGTCTGTGAACATTGCTGTGAATGTTCTGGTGTGATTTTTGTCCCATGTGGCAGAGATAATCAACAGTGGGTTGCTTTGTGCTTCAACTTCGTGTCTAATTCTTTGCTGCTGTGCAGGGCTGGTGCAGGGCCATTAACTCCAGTAGGAATAAAAATCGATAGACTAAGATAAGCTTTCCAGTAAGGGAGCTTGTCTGCGATTGTTGGGCAGCTGTCAGCTTGACCCGGCAGCCCAGGCAGCCACGCTCAGCAGCCCATGCTCAGTTTTCTTATGCAGGAGGAAGATGGCATGGCATTTCCAATGCAACACAGGTATGTGTGAGAAGTGGATCCTGTCCCTTTCCCCTAGAAATGTTCCCTTGCCATAACTCTGAAAGTTCTTCTCCCAGCCATTTTTCTCCAAGTGGAGATTCTTTCCAGTCTCAGCTCTATCAGGAGAAAAGGACTAGAAAGATTTCGAGAAGAAAGTCTCAAGAAAAACCGTGCAGGGGTGAGGAAACCGATCTACACATTGGCGGGGGCGGGATGGAATTTACAGGACTGCAACCTTCTGGAAAGCAGATAGGAAAATCATGCCTGAACTCCTCCCATGGTATTACAAAAGCAAAAAATAGCAACTCACAGGCAGTGTCCAACACTGCCGCACCACATAAAGCTGGTGTGAGCAACTTCTAACCCAGCACCTAGAGCACAGGCTGGCATGACATGTGATCTGGAAAAGTGGCACTGGATGCTGCCCACAGAAAACATGGATCCGGTGCAGTAAGGTGATTATTAGGTTTTAATAGTTCTGGCCCTTTTACTAGCTGGAGTTGCACGACTAGGAAAGGAAGGAACCCACAGCAGCTTCTTTTCGTCGTCCCATGCATGCTGGTCACATGCCGCCACATTTCCACGATCACTCACACCAGACATGGGCTGCTCTGCTGTTCAGACTTGAAGAGATGGACAGCACAGGTGGCATCCAATCCACCCTCAAGGCTTATTCTATGGTTGGGGGGACTAGAACCCCCCCCCACTGCACTTGCTGGGTTGGGGAGCATGGCCACCCCATCCAGCACGGGTCATGATGGAAACGAGGTGGTACATGACCAGCACATGCGGCCTGGTTGTGTAAACCCTGTCATTGTGTCCAGGATTCTCCTTGCTTTTTGTATCACTGGTGTGGACATTATTGTGTGCTGGAGCAGGTTTTCTTCATGGAAGGCAGGAGCACAGGGTTTCAATCCTGCAAAGGTGAGAGCTACTCCCCCACCCACAATGAAATGATTTTAGATATAAAGCCTACCTGCACACTGCAGTATGAGTGAAATTGGGGAGGTAGAAATCTCTGACCAGCTTGGCATTCTCTTTGCAGCTGGCCAAGGGCTATTCATATGCCCATGGATGGATGCACCGGGGCACGAACTGTGGGGATTTCTTTCCGGATGGCATCACCAATGGGGCCTCCTGGTATTCACTCACCAAGGGTAAGGCCAAGGGAGCTAGAGCACAAGGGTGCAAAAGCAGGAAGCATGTTTCGGAGACAAGGCTCTCTAATGGCCCATGTAGGGTGACCACTTCTGAGTGCTGGAAAAAGAGGAAATGCATCACCAAAAGAGAGGACAAAAGGGACACCACTTTGCATAAAATGTGCATGTGCTAATATGCAAGTGCAGACTCAGAGTTAGAAAATATTATTATATTTCAGGTAAAAATGCAGTAAATCTTACCATGGTATGGAAGATCAGGTAACTTGTGTGCCCACCTGCTCAGTTTGTTTTTCAAGTGCTAACTGTTGTTAGGCAATAGTTCTTATGGCTAATTCTTTAAACTGGAATTGGACAAAACAATGCTTCAAACCAAGCACAGTATTCTGGCAGTGAGGTCACACGGCCACGGAAAGGCTAGGCCCATGTAGAAGGAATGGGCAGTGAAAAGGAGACGGGGGGGGGGGGAGTAGGGCAGAGAAGCTTAGGTGGGTTATTTTGGAAAAAAGAAATTACATGCATGTAGCTCCAGCAGGAAATCCTGTACGTGAGAGAAGCAGCACAAGGGACCCAGGCACTTGAAGAAGCCCACTGTCTTTTTGTTTCGCAACCAGGATTTCTCTTCCACCTGCTCCTGTAACACGCTCTGTGTCAGGTACAGATAAATGGTAGATCCATCTGGGAGACATCTGGGGAATATGCGGTAAATCTGCAAGGTTTCCCAAATGCTGAAAAAGACTCTCCAAGTCCACAATTCTAAATTAGGCTGCCGAATTGAAGAAAAGTTAAGAAGAAAACCAGGAATGGAGTATTGGAGGAAAGGAGTGTGAGTTCAGTTCTCAGACTGAAAACAAGTTCCTGGTCTGAGGCAGACCTATGGGAATTCTGTTCTTAATTCTGGTAGGTTTGTGTCTGCTTCAAGTTAATAGTTTGCATCTGACCCAGTTGGTGGATTTCAGTATCCACATCTTAGTTTTAAAAAATAAGGGTAAGTTGATCTGCTGTTTTTCAGATGTCCATTGTTTGGTTGTTGGTACTGCTTTGTTTTGCCATCTGTTTGTTCTTAAGTGTTATTACTTTATTGCTTTGGTGGAATTGTACCCCATCCTGAGTATCCTGTTTGGAAGAAGATGTGGAATAGAAACAATCTGATACAACAAGGAAAGGAATCTCCTCTGCTTTGCAGGGATGCAGGACTTCAATTACCTGTACACCAACTGCTTTGATATTACTCTTGAGCTGAGCTGTGACAAATTCCCACCACAGGAAAAGCTGGCGTTTGAATGGCTGGCAAACCGTGAGGCACTTATTGCCTACATAGAAGAGGTAATAAAGCTTCCAGGATGACACCTTGTCCCATCTCCTCACTGGCCTTTGCCAACGTGGGTCTCATCTCTGTTTCTCCATTGCATGCTTCTAGGAGGCTGCTGTCTTATTCTGAACCACACTGACTATGGTCCAACACTTGAGGGGGATACTCTGCTCCATAGAGCTAGAAAAGTCCACCTGCTGCTTCCTGGGCCTCAGAGTGGTGTGGACTACCGCTTTCCCCTCCCCAAGGGCAGAAGTGGAGAACCTCAGGCTCGGATTCTCAATCCAGTCTCCTGGTTTCCTAGTCAGGGCCTCTGGGGTTCCCAGAAAGGCCACAGCCCCCTTCCCCCAACCACTGATGTGTGGTTTCCCAAACTTTGTGTAGTTTTACCCCCTTCTAAAAGGCCAAACTGCCTCTCCTAAGGCTTAATTACTCGTAGCATGAGTTTTAAGCTAAATTGTGCTAGCATTTTTGTCCCGACTCCTGTTGTCTGTAACCCTCCTGCCATGGGAATGCAGCCCCTGGTAGCCTCTTCAAAATAGGATTTGGTTCTTCTCCTGAAAGAAGTTCAATACACCTGCCCCCGTCTCAAGACCACTGAACATTTCTATTCTGCAGGTTCACCAGGGCATCAAAGGCCTGGTGTCAGATGAGAACAACAACAAACTTGCGGATGCCGTCATTTCCGTCAAAGGAATCAGCCATGATATCACTTCCGGTTGGTACCCAGCTTGATCCACATCAGAGCGAAATTTAAATAAACTTCACTTTTATTTGCATTTCCAACATCAGCAATTTAAATAAGAAAACCTTCAACATGTATATTTTCTTCTGAAAATGACCCCATTCCACTTTCTGTATTGCACTAACTACAGCAACATTTATGCAAGCGATTCTTTCTGGACTTTAAAAGACTCTTACGAATCGCTTGTGAAATGTGTTCAGTTCCATGCGGCCGTGCCCCTGACTTCAGGTCCATAGCCATAAGCATCTCCTGAAGAAACAAATATAATACACAAGCTTCCAGATGAGACTTTTACTGAGCAATCATTCTGCCTTATTCTTAGGCAGAATGAGGCAGGAGTGCAGGAGATCCAGTCAGTCAGATAGAACAGTGCAGGAGATCCAGTCATCTTTCATTTGGAACCAATCACTGAAAGCCCCACGTTTTTCACCGCTTCTAATCTTTTTCTCTTGCCAGAGCTGGGAAAAGGCAGAGCAGAATGCCCTCTAGTGTTTGTGCTAGGAACTTTCTGCCTGGGACACTTGTGGTCACATGCTAGAAACTATTTGTGCCTTTAGGTGTAGAATGTTCTAGATAGCTGCAAGCACCCATCCAAAGGGTATATCTGGCATGCCAGTAGTTGGCTACTGGACATGGGGAGTGTTAGTCATGTAGTTTTTAAAGAATTTTTAATGAACTTGCCTTGTTTTCATACCCATTGTCTAAATCATTGGGCACACTGAATGTTGCTCAAAGATCGCATTGGCTCCTAACTGTATGACTGTCCCACATGATGGTCTGACAGGGGATGCTCAGCATGTTCAGTTGATAGCCTCCTTGCAATTAAGAACTCTCCTTCATGCACTGAACTCCATTACAGGAGCAATGGGGAGAATCCACTGAAGTCTGCTCCTTGTCAGAGTTTCCTTCTTTTTGTTTTAACCGTGGGATTGAGACCAGGAAGGCAGGTCCATGAAAAGGATGGTGTTGCTCTGCCCTCTGCATCTTCTCAGCATCTTGTTCTCTCTTGTAGGTGAACATGGTGATTATTTCCGGCTGCTGTTGCCAGGTACTTACACAGTTACTGCATCAGCAGAAGGATATCAGCCCCAAACTGTGACTGTGATCGTGGGCCCAGCCGCAGCCTCAGTGGTAAGTGTTCTGGCAGAGCAGCATGTGCTAGATTCTCCAAAGTTAAGCCTCAAGGCTGACTTGCTGGCCCTAACTTTGAGTAGGACCGGCAAGGAAGACAATGGAAAGAATCGAACCTTTCTACTAAGGAGCATTTGTGTACTAGTTGCATGATGAGCAGAAATGTAGAAATATTGGGGAAATGGGAAATATCTGCTTAGTCCAGGGGTCGGCAACCTTTAACACTCAAAGAGCCATTTGGACCCGTTTCCCACACAAAAGAAAACACCAGGAGCCGCAAAACCCTTTTGACATCTAAAATGAAGATAACACCGCATATATCCTTTTTTACCTTATTGCTATGTATATCTTCATTATGATTTAGCTGCAGTTCTTGTTTAGCCCAAGCTAGGCTCTATACTTCCTCTTTCAGACTAGAAGAAAGAAAAGCTTACATGAGAAACCTTCCTATGTCACTTTCAAGTACTTCTCCACTTGTAAGGTGGCTCAGCCTGGTTACCATTTTAATTCCCCCATACAGTGCTGCTTTTGAGTATTGTAGAAGTGAGATTTAGAGGTTGGTCTGTTGGACTGGAACACAGAAGACTTGTGTTAAGTTCTCACTCAGCCATGGAGCTCCCTGGGTGAGTTGGGGCCAATCACTGACTCAGCTTGAGCTACCTCCCAGGGTTGTTGTGAGGATAAAATGGGGAGGAACAGGAAGACCCTGTGAGACAGCTTAGGTTCCTTGCAGAAAAACCTTCCATGCTGCCCATCAGTTCCATGCTGTATGTGCAGCTTCTTCCCACTTCCTGCACTGCTGCTTTGGTTAGTATTACTAGGTTTTACATTTTGATAAAGAAGTTTTTTTTATTTCATATCTGTTTTTATCTTTATTTGTTTTTATCTTTATCTTTATTGTAAGCCACCTTGAGACTACAGTAGCAAATGACATATAAATGAAAAAATAAATGAATAAAAGAATCACAGACAGCTGCCATTGCTAGTGGCAAGCAGTGTGTCATTGTCTAGTATCGGTCCTGAATTGTTCCTCTTTAAATCCGTTAATTCTACCATGGCAGAGTGAGTGTCTTTTCGGATAGTTCTGCATATGAACTTACTTAATCAAGTAAACCCCACATCTCTGTTGGAATGAACTAATGCAAGAAGGTTGCATGACGTGTGTTTCTGCACTGAATATGGCCAAGTGATCTTTTCTCTTCCAGGTGCATTTCCAGCTCAGGCAGAACATATCAGAGACTCCACCTCTCCGGAAGGCTTCTGACAAAGGCCCCACTGCTAAAGCTCTGCATAAGAAGGTTGTGCCACGAGCTGCCCAATGGGAGACACCGCGATGAAGGTAGACTTCAGATAGCTGAAAGTTGATGGAGTCGTGTCTAACATGCGAAGTCACCCACAACCACTCTTTTGTCCTCTGAAATCAGCCAAGACCATGTTGTGTGTTAAATGTCTAAGAATGAACACCAGTGCAGACCGGAAACTCTTTCAGAAGGAGGGCAGCCAGTTAAGTGTTCAACTGTAGGCTCTCCTAACCACCTTCTTGCTCAACTTTCTTTGGTGGGACTCCCTGGTGGGATTCTCTAGTTTCATTGCAGCCTGTGTTAACCACTGATACAGGACCACAAAGTAGGATAGGTGGGAAACTTAAGCCGCTGTCTGTGTGTATGCATGTGTGTGTTATTTTGGGTACCAGGGGAGGGTGAAGCATTAAATCTGGCTATAATCTACTTTATGTATTAATCTTAATACATAAGAAAGTTCTTAGGTTAGCGTATTAAAACTTAATACAAAGTTCTTGTTTTTTCCCCAATTTGGATGTAGAAGTGCCCACCCAACCCTGTTTAGTTCTTATTTTGTTCTAAGACTTCCAAAATGATGCTGCCCAGTGACAAATATTCCCTGAACATCTTTTACAGTCTTGAGCTGTAACTATTTTGTCCTGACTTAATAAGGGAAGCTCTTGGCCTGGACCAATAACTTCTCCTTTTCTATATAGTGTGCTGAGATTTCACTTCTAAACACATGTACTGAGGTCATTGATTAATTTCCAAGTAAACGTGTCTAGGATCAGGTTGTGAGCCATGTTAACTAACTTTTTAAGTTGAATGCTGAGTCATGAGTTCCTGAATTTGAAGTGTAGACAGATGCCAATTTGTGGAGTCCAAGGGGTGGGTTAGAAGCATACCCGAAAGCACCTTCATCACAATGAGTATGAACAAAACATTAGGGCTGTTTACCTGCAGTGTGAAACCAACCTAGGACCCAGCCTGGTTTTGACTTAGTAAGTGGTAGTGGTATGCTTGTAGTTTGCTGTTTTCTGCAAACCTGGTGTTGTGGGTGGTTTGAAGGGTTAAACACCACTCGAAATATCCATAGATTTTGTTAGAGTTATTCAAGGGTTGTCGATCCTGCTGAAACAACCCAGGATGCTGGGTTTGCATGACACAGCAAAACACAGCAAGCAGGGCTGCTCAGAGGCACCCATTAAAAAAGGTGCCACAACAGTCCCTGAGGGTCTATGAAGCCACAGTGCACTCCCGTGTCATTTACACATAGTCATTTTTTTCCCTTTGTGCAGTTATTCAGCAAAATTGAATTTGAATGGGGGAAAGCCTCCCCCAAATTGCAGAGCAACTCTGTATTTGTTTTTCAATATTTAAAATATTAAATATTTTAAATATTTAAATATTAATTCCTTCCCTACTTGAGTTGTTCTGATTCTGAGCTTTTTAATAGGGCCCCTTTTGCTTTAGTCTTTTCCTGAAATGCCTTGCTTTAAGACTCCATTATGCTGAATCATCCATTTTAAAAGATACTTGCCAAAGTAAGTAGCCCTGAGGCAGCTTTTTGTCCGCCAATTTACTGAGGCACATCTTCTCTCTTTTCTTGTGGAAGAAGAAAATATAATCATTCTTTGTTTAATCCATAATTTGTAACAATGTTATTATGACAATGGCATCAAAATGTTAACACTTTAGATGCTAATATCCTATAAACATGTCAAAAATGCTAAATGTTTAAAGCAATTAAAATGTCGGGATTGAAACAAAGTCACTTAAGTATGCTTTGAAATTTTGACAACAAACCACATTTCTTCATATCTATTCACAATGTTTTGGCTGCTGCTACTGCAGATAATGTCATGAAGCCACCTTGCTTGTTTATGGATTTCTGTGTTTTCACAGAAGGTCAGGATTAATTGATTTTTAGGGGACAGCATTTGTAGGTAAATTTGGGACTCAGTATTTTTCCCCAGTAGTTTCACGGAAGTGACATGAAGGGAGCTAATGCACATCTTTACCCCTCCAACAGAATGCCTTGTTTTGCAGTAATTGCTCTTTAATACTTTGAACAACAACAACAACAATGGCTCTTTAATACTATTTTTATCTATTTATTTATTTTATTAAAGTGTTTATATACTGTCTACCAAATGGCTCTCTGAACAGTTTACAAAAAAAAAGTTAAATTATAAAAAAAACACATGATCAACAATGAAACATTATATACTGTAAGTATGACATAGATCATCCCATATCCAAATAATACAAATGCATAGGTAAATAAATAAATGAACAATCCACAGTGACCCAATGACAGCATAAATAAAATATAGAATAAAATAGCATATTGTTTTAACAATTAAAATACTGGGAAAATGAAAAGGTTTTAGCCTGGTGCCAAAAGGCATAAAGAGTCAGTGCCAGATGCATCTCTCTAGGGAGCTTATTCCATGATCGGGGTGCCAAAACCGAAACTAGTGCCCACCTTCCTTACAACTTTTAGAGGTGGCTCCCAGAGAAGGACCTCAGTGGGTGAACTTAAGGTCTGGGGAGGCATATATGAGAGGAGACACTCCTTCAGATATCCAGGCCCTAAATAATTTAGGGCTTTATATGTCAAGATAAGCATCTTAAAGTGAGGCTGGACTTCAATCAGTAACCAATGTAAATGATACTATGGCTGCAAATGCCCTTCTTTTAAATTAATTATCCCTTTTCTAAACAATGCTGTAGCTTGGCAGCACGGGGAGAAAAGCAGGGGAGACAGTTTGAGTATTTAGAAGAATCTCATGCAGACAAGAAGAGTTAAGGCAGAAACCATGAATGCTTTTTCTTTTAGAAACTAAAGGTGTTTCCAGAGAGATGCCTTCTAGTACAACTGTTACATCTTTTCCTCCATAATGGATTTATTATGGAAAAAAGATAGGTAAAAAAGGCATGGGAAAATGCATGAGAGCTACAAGCAGAAGACACTGAAGCCTGGATTTCTCATAAAATTCTGGGAATGAGGAATCTGGAAGCATCCTGGGAGTGCTGCAAACACAAGACTGCACTTCAGTAGCATCAGAATGAGAGAGCCCGTTGCCCTCTTCTGGCCAATAGAGAGCAGATCACGGACACAAGTTTTAACAGTATGCATAGAAGTTAACAGGTTGTGTGAATGAACGTTTGAAACGTTTCCAGTTTGTTGTTGGCATAGCTTTCAGAAAAAAGAATTCACAAAACAAAAAGCAACAAAATCCTTTTGACACCCCCTCATGTGATGAGGCAGTTTACACACTCAAATCAGCAGTTAAGAAAAAGTAAAATGCCAGCAGTTAAGAAAAAGTAAAATGACTGCTCCCCAGTGTCAAGTGGAGGTGGGTTGTGACCTCTTTTTCCCCTGAAGTGGAGGGCAGGACGCATTTCAATGGAGCAAAGCTCAGGGAACCAAGATTCAAGGGGGATGCCAGGAAGTACTTCCTGAAGATTAGGAGCACTAGGATATGGAGTGGGCTTCCATAGGAGGTGGTTGAGGTCCCATCATTAAGGGTGTTCAAGGAATGACTGGACAACCACATGTTGGGGATTACATGAGCGGAGCCAGCTGGAGCTGAGGGTCAGACTAGATGGCCCAGGAGGACCCTTCTGACTCGCTTTGTTTCTGTGTTTCTATATTCCACTGTCATGTATTTTAATTTTAATTTGTCCAGAGTCTTATCTTCCTGCTCTCACAATAAGCATCTTATTGGTCTTATTTTACAGATGCAGAACCAACATTGAACGATGGTGATTTGTCCAAGGTCATAGAGGGGCCATGGCTATCCACACTGGCTTCCTTGATTAGCAATGCTTTTTATTTACTATTCCAAGCCCCTTGGGACTGACTTTGTACTTTCAACACCTGATGCTTCAAATTGGTTAGATTCAATATCCCAGAAAGGACAAGGAATTATCCCATTCCCGTAATTCCCTCAGAAAAGCACTGTTTTACAGGACACAGCCCTTAAGACCAACTGCAATAAAAATAACATTATAAATGCACAAGACAAATTTATATTTTACAAATTGCCATCAAGTTTTTAAAGGATCCTTCCAACTACCAATCCTAGAAGTTGAGAAAGAATTTACAAAACCTCACAGGACAGTTCCATCTGATAGCAGCAGTATGTCCTCTTCAGTTCCTAAGAGATCTTTGTTTTTTATTACTGTCTGCCCTTAATTGCCATCAACACACAGTGTATAAACTAGATATCAACTGGATATGTGATGCTGAGACATTCCGTATTTTGTGCAATCAGTGTAGCAGCAGGATCCAAGTTACAAAGCATCCTCCCTTATCCTGATGCTTTCCAGAAGTTTTGGACTTCAGTTCCCATCAACCCTGGTCAGTATGGCAAATGGCCAGGAATGCTGGGAGTTGTCACCCAAAACATCTGGAGGGCACCAGTTGGGGAAGGCTGCTACAGAGGCTTTGTCCATCCGTTCTCTCTGAAGATGAGTCAACAGACAGAGACTGCTGATGCAAAGGATTCTTGTGTCATAATCCCTTTTCTCACTTTGTTCTACACTTATCTTTTAAGAATTTCAAAGCAATAAGAACAACATTTACAATGGGCACATACTGTACATGACTGTGTACCTGATGTTTTAGTCTGTCCTTAGTAAAAGAAACAACACAGTTTTTTCCCACAATAAGTGTTATCTCTGTCTGCAGCAAACTCTTTCCCACACACCCACTTCAGTTAAATTCAGTCATCTAGAAGTGAGAAGTAACTGTTCACACTATACTATTTACAATACTTTCTTGGGTAAGTTATACAAGGGGGGGGATCCTCGCTTATCTGGGAACAACAAAATAATTATTCCTCAGGTTAATGGAAGAAATGGTACGGCCAAGGTTTTGCAGTCCTTTCTGGCACGTTTTTCCAGTGCACAGCGGTGGACAAATGAGGGTAAGAGAAAGACAGCAGCAATGGGAGTGGGCATGCAGATGTGAATGTCCTCAGAACATCTGTTGGGACCAGTGCTGCTTCATACATTATAGACTTGTTTTCCCTACAGGGGGTAATATCAATACAAGGGTCCCCCCGCACCATACTCCTCATCGCTGTTTCTACAATAGATACCACATCCGTTTTGCCATCAGTTCACAAATTAGTAAGCCCTGCATTCACATGCCCTGCATTCTCCCTCATCCCTTTTCCCTTCAGCTTGGGCTGTGTGATGTTCTCCGTTTCATCCACTTTCCAACACAAACGTTGGACAGGTTTGCTCTGAATTAAGTGTGTACAGGATTGTTGCAACAGATCAGGGCGATGTGGGAGCGGGCTCTGTCGAATATGCTAGTTCTTTGTACTGCACAAAATTGCACTGGACAAGTGTGTACACCAACTGCTTCTGGACTATTGCACTGCTTTCGCCCCCTGAAGTTCTCCATAAATGGCAAGATGGCCTCTACAGTCCCTTATCACATGGCAAGGAAACATTCTTCATGTTCTGAACTGAAGGGAAGTCCAGCAGACAAAAGAGGATACATTCTCTCCTGTCTCGGTTAATTGCACAGACGACCGTGGGAGCTCTGTTGTTTAACCAACCTGGTATTATGGAAGCCATCCTTGAACACCAAGATTCCTCGTTTTGTGGTTATTATTTATTGTATTTCTATACTGCCATTCTGAAGTTAATCAAGGCAGTTCCAGGATTTCAGAAAATAAAAACCATACTCTGATAAAAGCATAGTAAAACATTAAAAGCAACCCTACAACTACTCATTTTTGTGAATTTTTTCAGTTTTTGCAGAATATTTATTTATGTATTTATATTGCGATGTATATCCTGCCTTTTTCCTACAAAGGGCTCAAGGCAGCTTACATAATCTCTCCTCCTCCATCTTATCCCCACAACAACAACCCTGTGAGGTAGGTTGGGCTGAGAGTCTGTGACTGGCCCAAAGTCACCCAGTTGGTTCCATGGCTGAGCGGGGACTCGAACCCAGATCCTCCAAGTCCCAGTCCCATGCTCTTAACCACTACACCACACTGGCTCTCCAGAATGCTGCCAGAAGATACATAGCAGCCTTTAGCTGGCATTTACTTAGAAAATACATATGGACTAATTGAACCTAATTACAAGAGATAATGCACAGGCAGCACCCTCAGTTCCATAACCACCCCCATTACACTACTGCTTCCATGTTGACCATCTTTATATTCTCATTGCTACAAATGAAACATCCAATTCCTGGAGCCGGAGCCAGAATCCAAAGAGCCATTCAGCTAATTCTTCATGCTCAGGGTGCCTTTGAGTTCAGTGTTGCTCAAAAAGCAGACCTCAATGCCACATAACAAACCACTTCTGAAACCTTAAGGAATTTTTAAGGAGTTTGGGATATGGCATTGGTGAGGACCAGGAGGAACCTCTTGTTCAAATAAAATAGTAAAAAATTCAACCAGCCAGCCATGGGATGCTTCTTAGTGTGCTTCAAGAATGAGCACCCCTTGCAGGGCCAGTCAAAAGGACTGTGCAGCTATTCCATCTTTTCCTCCTTGGTGGATTTGGTTGGGGGGGATGGGCAATACATTTTTTTTTGGAAAAACATGAGGTTAGAACAGGCAAATGCCATCTAGACACACACAAACATACACACCAGTAAAATTCTGTGAATGAAGTGAGTGAGTTTACAATAAAAGTTTGGTTTGGAAGCATCATAGCCATATTAACAAATATGAAACTTGCATCATACCGTGATTTATGGAATTCTGCAGATTCAGACAATGACATCTTCCAGTTGTAACCTTCTATGCATTCTCACCACCTCCTTTACTGCTAAGGAGGGGAGAGCTAGTGGAGTGGAGTGCTTAGAGAGTTGAACTAGGATCTGGGAGACCTTGGTTCTAGTCCCCGCTCAGCAATGAAGCCTACTGGGCTAGACACAGACTCTCAGCCTAACTTATCTCCCAAGTAGTTATGAGAATAAAATTGACAGGAGGAAGAGGGTTATGCAAACCACATCGAGTTCACTGAAAAAGGGTGGGATATAAATAAAATAAATAGCTGCCCATATATTTCAACTGGTAATACCAAGAGGCCTCCCTCACCCTTTGAAGCTGGGAATTTTACAACTGGAAGGGAAAACTTTGCTGTAAAATACAGTATATTTTCCACACATATGAGACAATACTGTATAAACCTGTTAACATAAAGAATGTTATAAGGTTGTCTGGACTCCTGTTAAGACTCCCTAGACGAGGCAGGGCAATTGCACAATATATAAAAGACTTCACCTGACGCCTGAATCCAGCTCTCTGCCAATTACAATGTGCTCCTCTTCCAATTCAGATTGGAAGGGATGGCGCAAATATGTCCCAGCCTACCAACGGTTGGTGTTAAAATGGGGTGGCCAAGCTACTTTCTGAGACTCAGCATCAGGTTACGCGATGAGCGTGCCTTCGAGCGTGTGCAGAGTGCCTTTCCTTCGCCCGCAATGCATCACAGCCACCCCCTCGCCTCCGGGACCGCCACTGAGCGGTTCGTGGCACGATGTGCAGGCGCTTCGCTCCGCAACTCCCGGGGCTGCTCCCGGAGCCCAGCCGCGGCGAGAGCCTGAGCGCAGCCGCCCCGAAGGGAACGCCCCGCCTGCCCGGGCTAACGGGAAGGGGGCGCTCGGCGCACAGCAGGCCGAGGGAGGGCGGCGACGCGGGGCGGAGCGGAGCGGAGCGGAGCTCTGGGCCGCGGCTGCTCCTGGGGGCCGAGGCGAGCGAGAGTGGGACCCGCCGGGGCTGGGGCGGCCGGAGGGACCGCGCAACAGGTAAGCGCGAGAAGGGAGAAGACGAGCCGGCGGAGCAGCGCCTTCGCCGGCGCGCCCCGCAGCGGCTGCCGCCTCGTTTCCGTCCGAGAGATCGCCCGCCTCTCCGGCTCCCGCGTGGAAACTCCTCCGACGGGCCCGCGGCCGCTGCCGGGAGCCGGGGAGGCGCGCTGCCCCGGCCGCTGGCGGGGACCCCCAGACTTCCTCGGCTTCCCCACCCGCGCGCCCGCTGGCTCCCCGGTTGGGGCTACACCTTGACCGAGGCCAGAGGCTCGCACCGTCCCGGGCATCCTCCTTTCCCACAGTTCCCTGGTCGCAGCGCCCGACCTGCTGATCGCGCTCGTCCACTCCTTCCTCGACGTTTTCGCCTTGCCCCCATCGTCGGGGAATGGGCGCCTCCGCGCAGAGCTCCGTTTCTTCTAAGGACGCAGGATAGCGTGGCCGTCCAAAGGTTAGTATGCGTGTCGACGTTCCCTCCATGCCCTACGTGTGAACTAACCTTCGGTTTCACTCAAGGAGCGCCCCACGACTGATGTTCTTCGTCCTGCCAGTTGCCGCAGCAGAGCTGATGCGTTTGCCTACGTATCTCTGGTAGGGCGGAATCGTGTAGGAAGTCGGTGCCAATAGATTTTCTGTGCTGAGAATTAAGAGAAAGGCTTGTCTGTTGACTGAAGGTACAGTAACTATACGCTGTTGTATCTTATTACTCCTTTATTAGTCCAAGATAAGTGCTTTATAAGGCCAGAGAGTACCATGTTTTGTGAATGAGCAATAGTTATGTTTTGTAGCCAAATACTGAATTGTAATGACAAGGGAAAATGAAGTGTATGGCTAACAGTCCTATACACATTTACCTTGGAGTTCAGCCTTGTGGAATTCATTAGGAGTTATTTCTGAGCAGGCGTGTGTAGGAAAGTGCTTTCATGGGCAGTTTGGCAACTCCAGAGTTCTTGTCTGCTTTGAATACCCAGTGTGCCTCTTCTTTTGCTCTTTAATTTATTCTCTGCCCTGGATGTGTTCTTGCCTTAGAGAGCAGTAAACCCTCCACTTGAATTCTTACCCCTTAGAACCTTCCTATAACAGAAAGCACAAGTAACTGAGTAGGCCATAAGAAAAATGCCAAAATCCATTTTAGTGCAAGACCTTTATTGGATCAACCAAAAAATCATGCCAAAGGAGCACATTTTTTTAAAAATTGGAGGGAAAAAATTTTGCTTGAGGAAGCCATGGTGTCTGCATGATTACAGAATTGTATAGACTTGTGTTTGAAGTCTCTTGAGTCCATGTGTTTTTCTGTTCTTCATACTTCGGGCAGTTTGCTTCCTGATGATATCCACTGAGAAAACGGTGCTGTTCAGATTTAACTAATGTTTTCCAGGTTGCATTCCAACACTTAACGATTTGTAAATTGCACAAATCCCAGTAAATGTCTGACACATTCCACAAGCTTAAATATTTGTACAAAGATTACCATCCTAACAACATCTTGGTGTCGGTGTGCAAAGGTATGACTTAGCTATCTCTGTACTGGAAACTCACACATTGCCTAATTCCTGCATGGAAATAGTTTCCTTACCATGAGCAAACAGCTGTGCTGTAAGTATATAATTGTGTGTGTGTGTGTGTGTGCGCGCGCAAGTTCAGCATCAGCTGCTGGATACTGGGGCATTTGCAAGGGCCAAAATACCCAGCTGGGTCTCACATCTTGCCTGACCCCAGCGCCAGTACTGCCATCACTTGGACCTCGTCCTGGCAGTGCTGCTGCACTCACCAGCTTTCTTCTCACACCTGTTTTTATGGACTTACTTGGTGGCAGCTCTCTAGCACTGGAAACTTCTCCAGGACATCCTGCCAAGAGCCCCCCAAAAGGTGGAGCCAGGCCTACGTGTGTTTGTAGAATCATTGCATGTTATGAATGATTGATGAATGATTTTTATGTGTGGCTTTGATATAGGAGTCTGACACTGTGTGAATTGACCATAAGTGGCATTTTTAAAAAGCTCCTTGTAAAGCTGCTTTGTTAGTGATGTCATTCATGCATGTTATTTCATTGACAAATTATGAGAGAAGGAGCAGTTGTTCCTTAGCCCAGGCAGCTGCCTTTTCTTACCAATATTCTTACCTGTCAGGACTAGTGCTACTATATATGACATTGTAAGAGTGAATAATGGGTTTCTTTGAGTTTCAAGAGTAAGGTTCATGCAGTGAGTTGGAAGAAGTGGAACTGTAAAGAGAAGTAGGCCTCAGCACATAGTTTTGCTGAGCGTATTCTTGAGAACAAGTTTCCTTTCATCTCTGAAAGCTATATCACTTGCACCTGCATTAAATCACTGTCTCTATGTTTGCATTTGGCTTTAGCTGGGGTTGGCCTTACTTGGCTCAAGCTGTTAATAAGAGCTTGAGGGTATTTCTGCCATATGGACCTACCGTCATGAGCACCTGTTCAGCCTACAGGGATGAATCACACCAACACTGAGGACAACACAGCAATTACCTATGGCTGGGCTGATATGCCCTAGAATGAGCACAAGCCTTTGGGCACCCAGCTTACGTTATCATATTTGTAATCTTATACTGATAATAGAAGTGGTGCCATTTTTTTCAGCAATGCCATTTTAGTGGTGTGTGCATATGAGCCAATTTTTGACTGATTTTATATCTGAAAATATCACAAAAGGTTTGTACATTCCACAGCTCAGCATGCGTCCCATGTGAAGAATAGAATGGATACTGAAGCCTAATCTGTACTGAGTTTGGCAGTTGCTTTCTCTTGTTATAATCAGTTTGTTTCCTGTGGCTTAACTTGTTGTTGTCACCTAGAAACACACTGGACTCGGTCTATGACATGGCATGCAAAAGGCGGGTGCTTGCAGATGGAGCGGGAACATATAATCTGATGGCTCTAGGCAGGCTCATAGATGCTGGTATCCATGGCCCATAGATGTAAACAGATGCTGCTCCATGATGCTTGTCTTGCAAGTCATTGCATGCATGGTGCTCTCGGTCAAAGCAGGACTGGGTATGTGTATGGCCCTGTTCTGTTTTTGCTTGATTTAAAGCAATTTTAGCTTAGTTAAAAAAAACCTCATCAGGAGTGGATTACATATGTACAATTAATCAAAAAAGTCCCTGACTAAAGGCTTACAGTTTAAAGACGTATCACAGAAGGAAAAGGGGGATGGGGAGAGAACAGGAGAAAAAGCAAGAAGACTTTTCATCAGGAATGGTGGATTTGCACTACTTTCCAGCCCATCTGGTACCTCGTTTCAACATGCTTGAAACGGCTGCTGCTAGCCATTCTTTCACGTGGCTCTGGGCCACATACCTAATTACTTGTGGTTTCTCTGAGCTGACATTTCTCCTTGTCGCTTCTAAAAAGTTGGTTTATCTTTCTGAGCTGTCTGCCTTGGGTTCAAATTCAAAGAACAATTCAGTGTGCTACAGTCACTCTGCTTTAGGATGGTTTTCAGTAGCCATTTGTGCCTGTAATGGCATGCTTAGCCGTTGGCACATCGGAGGCTGGGTTTACAAACAGCGCCCAAGAGTCATGGCAATTGCCTCTCAGTGCATTCAGGAACTGAGCCAAAAGTTCACTTCACTGATTGGCCCCATATTCTGTGGCATGCTCAGAAGCGGCAACAGAAAAGCTGAGGCTTAGAGAGAACCCAAATCTTAAGGCTCAGTTCAGTGCTTCAACATTTAGGAGAGTTTTCCTCAGTACAGGAATGTCAGAAGGGTGGCCAAATTAAGTGGACTTTGAAGATGCCTGAACCAAATCATGTTTGGTGCCTTTCTTGAATATGCTGCTTAGGGTGAATGGTGCCTTTGGATGCCCTTCTCTGCAAATGAACAGGAATGGCACAGAATTTGTCAGCAATCTCTTTTCTTTATTGTATCAACAGCATTTTGTGCTTCTAAGGATATTCAGCACTTCTAGCTTCCTGTAACATTGTAAGTTCAAGTCCTCTGTGTCTCCGGGAATCTAGGTCTAATTGCAGATTTCCGTTTCCAATTAATGAGATACATGAAATTGTGCCTGTGAAACTATGGCTTTCGTGATTTTGGCACTTGAGCAATGGGCCTGACTGAACAATACAAGTATATCTATTTAGGGTGCAATCCAGTCAGGATGCCCATATGCCTGTGAACTCAAAGGCATATGGGCATCCTATGTAGGGCAGGAGAACGTTCATTTCATTTATTTCAGCTGCCCAGAGCTGAAGCTGGCAGAGGTGATTTCTGCCCCCTCTTCCTTCTGTGCTATAAGTCAGTTTCGGCCATCCACCCGTGGCACTTCAGAGGGGGAGGAAAGGAAGCTGAAGTGTTGTCCGGATCCATAGTATCCTGCTGACCCCAGTCTTTGCCCTTCCCAAACCCTGCTCCTGTACCCCTTCTCTGAGGTCTCTCTTAAACCTGTGAGAAACAGCTGGGGCAGTTCTTCCCGTGTAGCTGCAAGGAGGGGAAGAGGGATCTGAGTGCAGATTCCCAGCTCCAAGTTCAAGGCTTGGTTTCCGACTTTGGATCTGGGACTCCAAAGAATCCTAAGGCCCCCTAGATGCTGCCTAGAAAACCATAAGATTATTCTGTCATTTGATTTATATCTCCCTTTTCCATCCACTAAAAATGGGACTCAAGGTGACTAACAATAACAAGACAAGAGCCTTAATTAGAACAATTACAGTGAAGAACACGACAATAAAAGAAATGGAACCGTCCCTTCAGCAAAAGGCCACAGGCCTGCCTGAATAAAAATGTTTTTGCCCATTGGAGGAGGGGCAGTAGAGAGGAAGACCACCCAGTGGGTATGAATGTTACAGGGCCTGCGTGGGAGATAATCTTGCACTAGTTGCTGCAAAGGAGCACCCCACCTTTAAAACGTCAAGTCTTTGGCTGAATCCTATTATCATGATTAGCACAATGAAGGGAGAGCAGAGTTGTTGTTTCCCAGGGTAGGACAACATTCTCCCCCCACCCCAAATGGGACTCTTATCACCACGCAGGTCTTCTGCTGGGCCTAGACATCCCGCTGTGTGGCTCTTTGGCCTGTGTCTCTGGTGCTCCTATCTAGGTCAGTGGGGTGGGTTCAGCCAGATGATGAGTGTAGTTATTGTTGCCACTTTGCAATTTATTAAAAATGCTATAAACTGGTTTTTAAAAGTATCTAGACAAATTCAGGCAAGCATAGGAGCCAGTACACTAGTGAGAGTCAAGATGGACAAGAGAATGCAGCCTTCAGATTAAGGTTTCTAAACTTCCACCTGCTTGGGAGGTGCTCCATTGGCTTTTCTAGACACTTCATGCATGCTGCCCTGCACTTCCTCAAATATCAGGACCTGAGCATTACTGAAGACAGGATATTGGGCATGATGTTTTCATAGTGTGGCTCACTGGCCTTGTTGTGAAGTTAGGTCACCCATCTCTAACAGTAGGTCCCTTCAGATCATCTTTCCC